ACAGTAGAGGTGGCCACCCGGATCCGTTAATAGCGGACAGAGGTTAATTCCGCTAATTATTCCGTTAATTAACGGAAAATAACGAAAAAAGACAAAAATTAATGAAAAATTAGCGGATTTTGGGATTTTTTGGGGATTTTTGGGTTTTTTTCATACTTATAGTTTATGGAATTCGCTATTAGAGAGTATGTTTGTATTTTATTTCAACCTATGCATACTAGATTTTCAACTAGCCGCAGTTGTTGTGATTTTTTGGTTTTTTTTAATTTTTTTGGATTTTTTTTGTTTTTTCTGAATTTTCTCCCTTTTTCTTTAACGAAATTTAACGGACAGCTGATAAAAATTAACGAACCGGACTTAACGGACCGGATGGCACCCTTGAGTGGCCACTCTAGTACACAGACAACGTGGTTTTCTCTATGCAACTTCGCAATTCCCATCAAAATGCACAAGCATGCATGCTTGTCATATGACGGCAACTAGAAAGAATCAATCCGCGCTGCCGCCGAGAGGTGAGGTCGTCTGGATCTGGATGACTAAAACATCAAGGTGAAGGACCAGCGGCTTACGTGGACAGCTGGGGGATCGAGCGTGTAAGTACTAAATTAAATCCTTTGATTTGAGATGGTGTGTGTGCTATTGACCATGCCAGTCGCTTGATGGCAAAAATTTGGAATTTAAGGTTACCGTACCTGCATTTGCCATGGGCTCCCTGGCAATCACGAATACCTTTTGAGGTTTGAATAGAGATATCTTTTCCAACCATTGACCAGATGGGCCCTATCGTACAGGCTAAAGGAAAAGTATGTGTTGGAGCCAATGGTGGTCCCAGCATTGCGACATTCTTTGTGAATGTGGCAGCATTGATGCCCATGCTTTCTGAGCAACGTGGTAACTGGATTTTTGGTGGGATCCTCCTCTATAAACCTCTTGCTCTCTCTTGTAAAAACTTGTTCAACGGCCCACTGCATCTGTACTGAATTTGAAACCGCTATGCAACTTGACATCTGTTGGCAATGGGACTTCGACCTCCGGCTTTTGTGTTCAGCCCTTGGTCATTTTCCACGTTCATTAAATGAATCCTAATGCACAAAAACTGGAATTTTCGCTTCGAGTTCAGCAACACCAATGGCTTTGAGAATATGGTGTGGACTGTGGGGTGGGGCAAGTTCGTCCCGCGTCGTGCGATGGTCGACATGCCAGTGAGTTGAGGAAAGGCAAGACCCATGAAAGGGGGTGTGCTATGTTGCCCCAATGGCCCGTGCTCCTCCCACATGGCTTGCGCGAAAATACCATGCGGCTTTTCCGTGCTTCTTTATCCTTTTTGACATCACGCACATTGCGTGGCAGTGGTCGCTCAATGCTTGACCCTTCAGTGCAAAGCATGCAACCCATGCAGTTCTGTGGGTTCCTAGTCCTTTGCCGAGGTGTTTGCCTACAGCAAACTACTGCCATTCGACACCAGCATTGAAAGCAGTATTCGAAACGACCATTTAGCTTGCGGCTCCCCTCGCCCACCCGGGCCCTATCCCTCGGCCTGCTGCCACTATAGACTCGATGCCGAATGAAAAAGGAATGGAAGACACTGGTTGTGGATAATGCCAGAGATCAGGCACTTGATTTATTCACAAGGCCTAGCCAAGAATATACTGCTCATTTTCAATGATTCGTTTGCAAGAGATTTCTGGGAGCCTGTGGGCCTATTGCACATACCGAGCAGCGGGACTCTGGGTATGATGTGACATCCCGCTGTAGATCATTCTCATGGAAATCGCTCCTGAGATCCCGCAGCTCAGCTTCCCAGCCACAAGGGCCCTGGAGAACAAGGACACCTCCCTACATTGTGTGGCGCAACAATCCAAAGAAGCTTGCGCCTCACGCCTGGTGTCCAAAACTTCTTGTTGCGCCCAGGCACTGTCGTTTGCAGAGCTCCAACTTGTTGTGGACGCCAGGCGTCCATTTCCTGGCTTGTATTTTCTGAAATCTGGAAAGGGAGTGAGCTTGCGAGCTCATGGACAACAGGTTTGCAATTCGGTTCGCATCGTTGGTCTCAAATGCTACCTTTGTTCCAAACAAAATGAAACGATATGTTGTGAGGCTGAATTTGTATCGAGCACTCATTTGCTTTTCTTGAAAATGAAACTGACGCAACTACTATACATGTCTCGTAGTTGCTACCAAAACATCAAAGGGAACGATTAAGTACACTGCATGTGGCAATACGTTGGACATGCGCTAGTCCATTCCAGAATTTGGTCCCTCCCAGAGCATCCCCCGCTTGCCAAAAAATAGGCTCCCCGGGCCGAAATGACCCAACACACAAGTGCAGGCCCTCTTTCTGGACTTCAGGGCACTGGAAGGGTAGAGCGGCCAACCTCGCTCAGATTCTATCGCAACGATCGGCACCCATCGAGATGGACAACCGGCAGAGATGGCGCATGGCTGCCCATCTCGCCATCACAGATTTGCGTAAATCCCCGTCACCGTCCACGGCGATGCGAGGACATATCTGGGATCTACCGTTGCCAACAGGTCTCCTGTTGTCTAAAGACTAACCACAAAACTGCTGCGTGCATCGAAGGCTCTGGGTTCGTTGCCGATCTCCAATCAATTGCGTGTTTGGCGCAAGGAACACCTCCCAGCAAAAGGGCATCAATCCCACCAAACACGGCCGATGGAGGGTGCGGATGCTCCATCGGAGACCCCAGGTGGTGCATAATGGTGTTGCTGCATTCCGCAAGGACGGCATCCAAAATCTCTTGCAGCAGCGTCTTTCAAAGCCGCTTAAACGGCATTCGAAGTGCTCTTTGTGGCCTGTGCCAGGCACAGCCACTTCCAGCGATCTTTTTGCTGTTGCGCAGCGAATTGACAATCGCATCTCTACAAACTTTTGGTGGTGGCCTAAACACTTGTGGCCATCCCACCTACGGCGTTATCCCCTTTCAAAAACGCCGTGGTTGTGAAGTTCGGCGATTTCTCGGCTTCCGATCCAAATCTGAAATGCTGAATGGGCTGTCGAATCCACGGTCGCGATCGACGATCGTGCGGTACGAAACTTGGTTCCGCGCCCTCTGTGCTTCGAGAGGAACGCCTCCGACCTGCAGCCACAGCGGCGGCCGCAGATATCCACTCTGCGCTGCGCACCGACAGACGCAAAGCGACGTGGTCGAGGGTCCAGGGTTGGGGGGGGTGGGCCGCCAGCCTGAGAAAATTGGGTTTTTCGGAAAAATCCTGTGGGTCCAGAGTACAACCATTTGACCAGTGCTTATCCGTTCTTCAGAAAAATTTTGCAGCGTGACTGCTGGTGCTCCGATCAAGTTTTCAAGCAAAACTAACGAGAGTTTGATAAAAATGTGACCATGCAAACAGATTGTTTCATTTATTTTGGGACAGAGGAAGTATTCACTATTTCCTTGCAATCAGTTGCTAGGCCAAACCATGGCATCGCCCTGCAACTGACCGAAGTGAACTCTGAAACATGTGTCAGGCCTGCAAAGTTGTGCATTACTGGATGAATGAAATTGAAAAGCAAAGCAGGTGGAAATTCACAATGTTGTTGAACAAATGGGTACAGAAGCATTCTTTTAATGAACAATTCTACTGCAACCTTTTGGGTACCGTTCAGATAAGGTGAAATCCCTTGTTATTGAGAAGGTGGCCGCAGCCAGAGTTGCTCAAACACCACAGTGACCTGCGAGAGTCTAATCTAATCACAGTATATATTGCTACCGTGCGCAATAGGATGAGAAATTTTTCTTCTACATCTATTCCCACGTCGTGTCCGGGCTTAAATTTGCACGAACGGAGGTCAAAATGTGAAGGTCAGAAAAGCGAACGAAACAAATTCGCGCCATATCGAAAGCTATCCGCAGAGCTCTCAAACATAACAACGGCTCTGTCGTTCTTGCGATATATCAAGAGGAGCTGAATTGCGACTTTGCATTTTGTCGCACAGCGAGCTTATCTTGCCCTTCAACAGAGATGAATCGGCCTGGGCTATCACTGGGGAGACATTTGCTTTGGTTGTTTGTTTCGTGTTCTGCACCAAGGATGAGGTTCGATTCCAAACAGAACCCATGAGGGAAAGGATCACGGTTTTGTGCAAGTTTGGGGATATCGCCAAGAAACGTGTGCAGGTTATGGGCAAAGGCCAAGTGACAGCTTGTCCAGTGCAGAAGTATCTTATTGGCAGACGTTCCAGGCGTGAATATGCTATGTCTATTCCATCTTTCGTGGCCATGGATACCTCACTAAGGTAAAGAAGGGTGTCGCTAAGTCCATCAACCCTTCGCGAAGGGTGACAGCCAGTGCGGCAGCCAGGGGAACCAACGGAAATTTCTGTTGCCCCAATGGCTCAATTGCCCCATTCTCTTGTCGCCACTAGAAGCGCCACTTCGGCGATGCCAGCTGGATGCCATGGGACACTAATTGATGCCGTCTCAATGACTGTGAGGCCGCCATTTAATGTCAAAATGGCTTCGCAGTTGGCATGGCAAGAACAGTGTTTTCTGCTACAGTGGTAAGGTGGGCGCGGTGGTCGAGGAGGCAGCGAACTGTCAAATTCCCGGTGGCAATGTGCAAAATAGCTGGGTTGGTCCGACGCAAAAGTGCACAAGTATATGCGCAAAAATGGGCTCACAGTATTCGCACGTTCTACACCTTGAAACGCACGCGCAGGAGCTGTCAACAATAAGCTGTCCATGACGAACCTCGAACCAAGAAGCGAAATGATGGCGAGTAGGCGATCAACAGCACAACCAACATTCCAATGCTTAACAGGTGCGCACCGCGACGCTTCGCTCGCCCAAGTTTTGTCGTCCACCAGTGGATTTCCCAGGAGACTCCCATCGAAAAACACCCCGTAGCATGTGTTTTTTTCCAAGCATAATTCCGTGGGCACCGGGTAGTTAGTCACACCCTCGCCCGCCCCCCTCCCCAGCCCACCCACAAGTTCCCCCAGTGGCAGTCGTCAACGGCCAGCGGCGGCCGGGCGCTCAGCCATGACGGAGCCCCCCGGCGAAGGCCCCGCCGCGCCGCGGCCCTCCCTCGTCCCCAGCCCGGACCAGATCGCGCAGGAAGACTTCCTCAACAACTGCTTCACGCGGGCCGTGATCTCGGGCGGCATGGGCGGCCTGTTTGGGGGCGTCTTTGGCATCTTCTCCGCGAGCTTGGAGGGCACGTCGGGGTCGATGGCGAGCGAGGCGGCCGCCGCGGCGGGCCAAAAGGCCGCCCCATGGCGCGAGTCGCTGCGGGACGCAGCCAGGAGCGCGGGATCCAAGAGCCTGTCCTACGCCAAGGGCTTCGGCGCCGTGGGGCTGTTGTTCGCGGGGTCGGAGTGCCTGATCGAGAGCTACCGCGCCAAGCACGACATCTACAACTCGGCCTACGCGGGATGCTTCACGGGCGCGGCGCTGGCGCACTCCGGGGGGCCCAAGATGATGTGCCTGGGCTGCGGCAGTTTTGCGGCGTTCTCCGTCCTCCTGGAGAGGTTCCTAGACTGAGAGGGGGGGATTGGCGTCGAATCTGGGTTCCAAGAAATTGGCGTCGCGGGGAGGACGACCCGCTGGAGGTGCCGCGAGGCCGCGGGGCCGGCGTCCGCGCGCGCGGCCTTTGCGCCTTCGCGCTGATGGCGGGAGTCGGCGGTTGGGCGGAAGGCGGCTGATCGGAGGGCGGATGGAGATGTGTGCCGTCCGGCGGGTCCCGCGCCGCTTGGCCGGGTTTCGGCCGTCGCCCCGAAACCGCGGGTGAGGCCCGGAGGCTCGTGATCGGACGCTGCATAGGGGCGGTGCGCAGATGATGGGCATTGGTCGATTTGGGGATGGCCTGTCATCGCTGCGTGCCATCGGCCAGCGCGAGCAGCGTCCGCTTGCACAGGCGGGAAAGCTCGCCCATGGCGTCGAGGCCCAGCCCATTTCATCACTGCGGCCTCGATCGGTCCCTGTTGTGGAGGAGAGGCATTTTGGGGGAGGGTACGCGCAGTCTGGCGATCGGCAAAAGGGGCCGCGCCAACAGGTGCCTGGTGGCCCTATTGCTGATCTCGGATGGCACGAGTTGATTGTAATTCGGGACAATCAGAAAGCATATCCTGGGCGGCTTTTGGACTGCAGTGCTGCCACACATGTTTGGATGGCTTGCCCCTGTCACCAGGCATGGATGGCGTCGGCATGATACCCACCAGCAAATGCACAAACTGGAACAGGCTGCCTTTGCTGCTGTCGGTGGAGGGCACCGCCTTGCCACCCTCAAAAGCTGCATTCTGCATACTTGTTGAGAAGTTTGGCAACCTCTGAGGGAAGCTAGTGCTGGAACAGTCACATCCCTGTCAAAAGCCTGCAACATCAGGACGACTCGCGCCATGGCTTCTGTGATTGCCATGCAGAACGTCACAGAAGCCAGATTTTACAATCGAACCATGAAACGGGTGCAAAGCGTCGTTCACCACCCATGCCAGTCTCCGTTCCTCTGCTCACCATCAGGTGTCTTGTCTGGCATTTTTAGGATCTGTTGTTTGCCAATCGGCTGCCATCGCTTGGCCATTATTCACCTCCGGTAAAAAATGCAAGAATAAGACGACCCTTCATTCACCTGTCCTCTATGCTGCATGAAGGCGCTGCTGATCAGAGTCCCACAGACAGGCCCAAATGGGCACTCGGCAAGTGTCTGGAGTATAATGGCTCCATCAACGCGACGAATCAATTAACGAATCCACAGCAAAGCCCAACACAATCTACGGACCAGCACCTACCATCTGCAGAACGCTTTGAAAGTCAAGTGCCTTGTCTTTAAAGCACTGTGTAATCTGCGCCCTGTGTGCAATCACGGCCACAAATCCACACCTGAATGCAAACCTTCAAACCGCAGCATTTCCAAGGAGATTCCACACCAACTGGTGCCAACGGTTATTCACCGCTTGCCAGTTGCCCCCCCACCCACAAAATTTTTGGACCCCTTGCTATCGCTGTGACAAGCACAGCTATGCAGCGTCCAGATCACAAGTCCATCTCAACATCGCCCTTGCCATCTGCAGCCACCGCTTGCACTGTGGCTGCCCCCTCGTCATTCAAATGGACCCAATCCGTCCCGATGCTTCCTGCCTGTCCCTCTGCAAGTACACACCTGTGCCTCCCACATTGGAGATCCTGAATTGCTACCCTCCCATCCTTCATCTTCAACATCCCACCCTCTGCGTTTGCCTCAACGTCCGCAGCACCGTATTTATTGTCGGCATCAGAATGGCAACCTGCCTGGCTCGTATCACAGAGCTGATTGCCAGCAGGTGCCTTATCTGGCATCCTGCGTAACTTTTCATTCTTTATGTGGAGAAGGGTTTGGGCTGCATAGTCGTCGGAGTGGCTGTTCGTGGTCGCCTCCAAATGCCCTGCCTCCATCAGCCACCTCCTCACCTCCATTGCGGGCAGCCAGTTGTGGCTGCCATCATCCTCGTAGAAGGAAACGATCACAGAGCTCTTGTGCTTCGGATCTTTCTTTACCACCCGAGCCCTGCATGCACCTCGCATTGGTCAGCAGTGATCAAAGGTTGCAAGTAAGCCACACCAGAACACCCAGCACAGTTTCGGTGTTCAGCCATCTTGTGTGGGACACCGGCATTCCGACAATGCTGTGGCCAGTACACTGTGGCACTTGTGTATGCCTGAGAAGATCGGATGCCTGTGTGGCGCTCTGTTGTACTTGTTGCGGATCCCAGCTTTCAGCACCATACGACAAAGCCCTTGCACCTGACAAGCGATGGTGTACTTGTTCTTCTGTGTGTGCTGCTGCTTTTTGTGTGTGCACGACTGTAAACATGCACCTATGTACATTCAGGCCAGGGAGCCAGAAAGGCTATTCGAGCTGGTGCTCGTGTGATTTGGGCAGATACCACAGGTGCCTTTTACACAACATACATTGGTTGGCCTGGCAATTCGTTTGCCCAAAAGTGGGAACAGACAATAGGCAACCTTGTCAATTCAGCAGCAGCCCAGTTGCACATGCCATCTGCGGGTATTTCAGGCTGACAAGTGAGGATGAAAGGTGGGACAAGCGCAGTCAGCCTCATTGACGCTGGTGTTAGGAACGAACGTCACCATCAAGAGGCAGATTGTCCATCAGCAACGGACTGAGCTAGCCAGGCCAAGCCATGGCACAAAAGCATGATTTGACATAATCTTCGTGCATCCAAGCAGGCTTGAAGGAGGACAAAGAGACAACAAGCCAAAGCTCCAGCACACTGCACTGGCAATTCGGTTCAGAATGACAAGCGGGTCGTGCAATAGTCGTATGCTCTCAGACAAAGTCTCTGAGCTTTGTATCTTGCAACTTTCAAGGGAAGGGAATAGACGGAATTGGCGAGGCAATGATCTGTTAGCGTTGCAAACCCTTAAAAAACCTCGCTCCTGCACTGGCAGTTATTGGAGGAGCTCCAGTGTCCGAAAAGCATGCATGATTCTGTCAGATGTGTTAGAAACGCGCTACATGGGAGCACCACTACTGTTAGAGGTAGCAGAAATCCACAGGACTTCACAAAAATCTATGACATTTTCGCTCTAAAAGTTGCCGCAATGACGACAAGGCGATTAGCAGGACCTGTGCGTTGCTCCAGACAGGGCAAGCTCATGTTATGTGCAGGTTGGACCAGGTCAAGCAACGTGCCTGTAGAACATTCCAGGGACGCTGATGCCATATTCTGTGGCCGGGATGTGCACAATTTTGCCAACAAGGTCCCCGACCTCAGGGTCAGATTTCTGTGCAGGTTTCCCAAAGGTTGCCTTTCGCTTCCCCCGCGGCCATTTCCCTCTGGCAGGCATGGCTTCCTTCCCCTGCTGACTGGCGCCAGTCCTGGCGGACACAGCACACCACACCTTGAGAGCGGCCAAGGCGCAAGAGCAGTGGACAACAAGAAGCGCACCCCAGCTTTCGAAATTCTCGCAGCGGCGACTTCCCGCAGCCCCGTGCAACAGCTCCAAATGCAGAATGGGAAAGCCAAGGAAGCGGGGCGTGCATGAACATTGAGCACACGCAATTTGTGGATTCTGCGCCCGTCACCACCCCCAAGGTGCCCCGTCCTCGTTAATGGCCTTCATCATGGCGCAATCCGCGGAATTGGCGCAGACCCTTCGGCCTCATGAGAAGCCAATTCCTCTGGATTCGCCACCGGCCCGTCCTGGGCCAATTCGCATCCCATGCACCCCCAACAAAATCCCGCGAAATTCCCTTCATCTGCGGCGAACCGAGAGGCGCTCCTGACGCCCCTGGTGTGCCCCCCCCCCGGCTCGAGGGCACGGCACGGAAACACAGCGCCGGCGCCCGCGCAGCCCCAGCCCCAGCCCCAGTCAGCCCGTGAGCCCCGCCGCCACCACAGGCCAATCAACCGCCACCCTCCTCGTCCGCCGCCCTGGCCCCGTGCACCGACCGGCAGACGCCCGCCGCGAGGCGCTCTTTTCCCAAGGATCGTTGCTCCCCGTGGGGCACAGCGCCTCAAAGCGCAGGAAACCCGCAGGAAGCGCGCTCGTCAGGCATCCGTTCCAAAGCCGGCGAGCTGCCCTCCAAGCCCCCTCAACCCCGACGCAAACCCCGCGCCAGGGAGCGCTTCATCCCTGCCGCCGCTGCGTGCAGCCGGCAGCCCATCGATCGCCACCGTCACGATGAGCGGGCGCGCACGCAACACGCGCCTCCGGAATCTCTCGAGGCTGGGCGGCAAGCGGCGAAAGGCGAGCAAACGCGCGGCTGCTCGAGCAAACATCGCCGTCCTCGCGACAAACGTCGCCAGCCAGCCCAACACACGGCGATCCGACCCCATCCGGGCAAACGGCGACCGGATCTGCGACAGCAAAATGTCCTGCCGGCACCGTTAAAACGCCGCCAGGATGGCAGGCATGCCCCCTTCAGCCCACCTGCGCTACGCTCCCTCGACCGGCAGCCCGCGCGAGAGCCGCGCTCGCGCGCCTCTGCGCGCGCGTCGCCGGGCGGCGGTTGGGGCGAGAGGGTGGGTTTTCAGGCGTGCCAGCGATGGGCTTGGGTGCCATAATGGCAGGGGTGGGAAGCACAAATGGCCGGGCGCCGGTCCGCCGGTGACCGCGTGGAGCCGGATCAATATTTGAAATTAAAACCTGTGCAGGCGGCTCTGCCCACGGCACAAAACCATTGCGTCGTCCAGGCCGCGGCAGGCCGCCAGCCCAAGCGTCCGCGACCGGCCCTTCGGCGCGGTGCGGGGGGGGCTATTCGCCCGAGCTGATCGGCCGGACTGCGCGTGCCGCGGTTTGCCGCTCGCCGATGTCGGCGGGACGGCAATTGGCATGGCGGAACGGGGGTGCTTGTGTGAGCTGTCGATCGATGCTGCAGGTCCGGGAGCAAGGCGGGAACATCGGTCCTGCCTCAGAACAGCCGGCCGGGACGCCGTTGGGACCGCCTTGGAGATCGCCGGCGCCTTGTGTGGGCCCAGCGCGACGCGAAACGCGATCCGCGTTCGGCTCGACAGGGCAGCAGGGATGCGGAACAGCGCCTGACGAGATGACAACAGGCAGCGACAGCCCAACGCCTCTGCCTCAGAACAGCTGGCTGGGATACCTCTGGGACCGCCATGGAGATCGCCGGCGCCTTGCGTGGGATCAGCGCAACGCGAAACGCGATCCGCGTTCGTCTCGCCACAGCAGCATGGATTCGTACCAACGCCTGGCAGAGGGACAACGGGCATCGACGGTACAAATCCTGTCCCCGCCGCCAGCTCGCGCCCTCCGCGAGAACGCCAGACCCCGGGTTTGCAGTCGTTGCGCCCCGAAGGCCGCCGCAGCGATCGCAGACGAGCCGTGCGCACGCCCGGCCATGTACCAGCTGCGCCGGTCCGCAACTGGCGCCCCCGCCGCGATAGCTGATGCCACCCCCCGCCCCGCCGTCGATCGCCCCCGGGTGGCGGCGTCCCTCCGCGAGCGAACGGCGGCGTTTTCGATCGCCGCGGAAGCTGGTGACTCGGTGTTTCGAAAGAACGACGTCGGCAGAGGGATACCTTGATTTCAGCGGCAGATGCCGCGACCGCGGCGCGGCTGTCGTCGTTCTCTGGGACGGGGAGCCGAGTCGAGCCGCTTATGCGCCGTGCCGGGGACCGGGGGGGCTCGAGCCCGGCCGATGCGCGGGCCCACGTCGGGGGCTTGACACGTTGCCCCGACGCAGCTCTT